ATCCCATACCGAGCGGTCGTCCGCAAAACGCGGCTCGCAGATCACGACGCGAGATGCGTCTTATCTGCAGCATGTGCGCTCGGCTTCTCTTCCGCGACGAAAGAGGCGAGCGAGCACGCGTTCCACGGCCGCCGTCGCCGGGTCGAGTCGACGAGGAACCGTCCGCGATATCTTCGATCAAGAGCATGCGCGCGCGCGCGCGTCCGAACGCGCCGTGCAGCTCTCGGAGGAACTTCATGCGCCCGTGCATGCATGCCGCGCGCACACACACACACACACAGAGTTACACATATTCAGCGCGCATACGTACCTGTTGCTTTCCCCGTGCAGCGCGACGCAATGGTAGCGTCTCGCACGTTCGCGGCGCGTCCAACGAGATCACCACCGGCGAACGACGGGCGGCGGGCTGCCGTCCCCCGACGATGCTCCCCGTCGACGACGACGATGATAATCCTCGACGGCCGGCGTTGCGCGGCGCGTACGTTGCGGGTCGAACGGCGGGCGGTTCAGGTACGCGATTTCGCGTACGGCGTCCCGCATCGCCGGGAATCGCGAGCGTCGTTGCCGTCCCGGACGCCGCCACTGGCCGACGCACCTGCCGCACCGCGCTGCCGCGAGTTCACGGGCCGCCGTGACGCCGTGCGATGCCGGGACGCGAGGAGGCGAAAGAGGCGCGACGACGCAGGCATCCTCGCGGCATCTCACCCGCCCGTCGTACGCGAGTCAAGCGTGCACGCCGGAAGATTCACGAGAGAGTTTCGGCTTGCACTCTTCTTCTTCTTCTTTCCTTCCTTCGCTTCGCCTCCACCGACCGCACACAACACACATATACGCGGATCCGACTTCTGCCAAAGGGCGAGTGATTCAGAGCGATCAGAGGGACACCATTGCTATTGCGAGCCGCGTACATACACCATCGAAGTGCGTCGACTCGAGCGTCGATCTTGCTGGCGCGCCGGCAACTTCACTCCGATCAGTACCGGCGTCCCAGAGTCCCTTGATCGACAGCGCGCGCCGAGCCGCGATTTACGAAAAAGGAAGCGGCGCACACACGTCGAGTCACATCATGCGGTAACTGTCATGCTAATTTGGGACGACGGGCCGGACTTTAGGGCGACCGCATGGATCTTGGAAACTCGCGAACGTGGAACGACTGACACGCGACGATCTGCTCACCACGATCAGGTCGATGACAATGTCGCGAATCACTTAGAGAGAGAGAGAGAGAGACACGCACTTGGAGGTTCGTTCGCACTGTTGTGCCCGTCCGTCCGTCTGTCCGTGGCCTGCGTGTACACACGCTGATGTGTTCGACGCGATCGCGCGATGTACTTGCCAGGGGTGCCTTGTTCGATGGCAACACGCAGTCGAGAGGGCCCGAGTCGAACTGGCCGCCGAGATGAGGCCCGATCCCTACTCCGACGCGACTGGTCTCTCTTCTCTCCTCACATCAGGCCCCTCTTCATGCCCCTTTCACTTCGTCCTGCTCTCCGGATGCCGCTGGACGTTCTCCTCCCCCCGACCTCTCGACTTGCCTCTAACATCATTGTGTATCTCCTCTCCGCGCCGGTCGTCGCGCGCGCCACTCTTTGCCCTCTGAGAGTACTTTTCCCCTCCTCCTCCTCCTCCTCCTCGCTTCCCTTTACCCCGTCGTACGCGCGCGGATTTTCGCTCGTGATCGTAATGAGCGCGGCGATTCGAGTGGCGGGTCGATAGCTCGCGTGTCGATTCTACGCGCGCGGTTCTACCTGCCTGGGCGCGTTTCGCGGAAAGTTGTTATCAGGAGTTGTTAGAAAGAGAGAGAGAGAGAGAGTTGCCGAACGTCGGTCGCGCGTAATGGGGCCGAAGCCCGATTCCGCGAATGCGCTTGCTTGATTAACTGTCGTCGTCGCGGCTTAATTGATTCTCCGATTCTTCGGATCGCAACAGGCTGCAATACGAGCAGCTTGTAACCAACTGTGATAAGTACTTCCCAGTTGATGACACAAGTCGGCACAAACATTACCCTATCTTTGTTACTCATTGAGTACAGAATAAAAACAATATGATGCATATGTTGGCTTGTGAGGCCCGTTTTTCGTTTTACGATTAACTTGTGGTTTAGACTTAAACTGATGATAAAATGCAAAATTATTTTTTTTTATTCATGGTTGATTAGTAAACTGTGATAGTGTTGTAGCGGTAACTTTTAAAATTAAAATGATTAACCATAAATAGAAAAGCATAATTTTTACGTTATCATCAGGTTAAGCCTAAACCACAAATTGATGAGAAACTTTGTAAAACCGGGGCTAAATGGGAAGCATTCGATATAGCTCGAGCAGAACAAAAAGTTACACTAACATCGAAATGATAGTAAAATGATTTCCAAAAATCATTTTTTATCATGACAGAGAATTGATAAAATTATGACTGGAATTTATAGATGTAAGAAAGTCATTAACAAGTCATAGTACGGTCACAAAAAAGTCAAATTATCGTTCTATTTAAGGGGTCATAGGATCCTGACAGAAGTAAAAATTGAGTAAAATTTTGTAAAAATTGTAAAAAGTTGTAAATTAATAGGAGAGTTAACTTTTTGTTATGTATGTCTATTATATACATTTAACAATAACTTGATATAAAATATTAGATTTTATGGTGAATATAAAATTGTCGTAAAATTGTATTTCAATTTTGTTCAATAAAATAATCATGTATCAACGGTAACTGATATCAATTCTGATATCAATAGAAATGATCTGAAATCAATACATTTTTTATTCATTTTTTTTATTCTTCGGGATTATAGTTATTGGTTCACGGAGGCTTTTCGCAAGTTTCAAAATTATTATTTAATTATTTATTTTACAAACTGAAATTTCTCAGTGAAAAATTAAAATTTTTTATGTCTTCCATTTTGAGAAATAATGTTCCTTTCAAAATCTGCTCCGTGAGCCAATAACTATAATCTTAGTGGATAAAAAAGATATATTGACATTGATTTCAGATCATTTCTCTTGAGGCCAGATGGATTCCCGTTAATGTGTGATTCTTTTGCAGAACAAAATTAAAACAGATACAGTGATGTTATATTCACCATTCCAAATCTAATGTTTTTATATCTTATCAAGATATTATTAAATGTACTTAATAAACGTACATAACAAAAAATTCATACGCCTATTAATTTACAACTTTTCATAACTCCCCAAATTTTACCTAACTTTTATTCCTGCCACAGTACTGCGACTCTTTAAAGTACCAAATAACATCGCTTTGATTTTCTATAAATGATTACTTTTCGATATCATCTTGATGTCATCTTGACTTTTATATGACTTTATTCTGTTGGATATTCTGTTTGGAAAACGATATAATTTATTACAATCAGAATTAACCGGCGTGACGTTGCACCTACTGCTTCCTCGATTAGGATCATGGAATTGTTTTTCCTTCGAAGGGTAGAATTGTATTCCTTCTTCTTACATCTTTTCCACGCTTTCATCGTTCGTACATAATGACACAAATATGCGAGAACGCGCTTCGACGAGAGAACGAAGGGAAGTATTTTTTCCCTCTTACTCGACTCGACTTACGCCTCGATATTCTTCGCCTCTCGCTTCTTCCTTCCTGCCCCTGTTCTCCTGTACACTTCTTTTCCCACGCTTAATATTCCGCGTTCGCTTCGCCTTCCTCTACGCCGCATCGTTCTCTGCTTTCTGTCTGTTCCGTTCTCCAACATCTCTGCGTGCCCACCTTCGTTACACATCGCCATTTCTCGTTACACGCGACTCGATCCTTCAGCCGCGACTTAGCTACAAAGCGAAAAAGACTTCCGTGAAACTACTACGATATCGAGCTACCTGTATCAGTTTAATTAAGTTGTTGAAGTAATATCTCGTGCAGTTTTCTCTCTCTCTCTCTCTCCCCCTCTCTCTTTCTTCCTCTGCAGCTAACATTAATAGCCACGCGAGTTAATAAATACGCGCGGGTACGCCATTATTTGTCTCAAAGGATGGAAATTGCCTTCGGAACAAGCTACTTGTGCAAAATCCCTCGGGGGGATCTCTCCATTTTCTTTTGCTTTTCCGTCACTAAGATATTATTTAAGACGACTAAATAAAAGCAGATGTACCTCGCAAAGAAATCCAATATATATAGGTCACCCCTTCTTTTGTTTCCTCAAAATTATTCGTGGCCATTCTCAGATTAGCCTCGCTTCTTACTAGATTAATTAAAAGATCCAAGAGAGAGCGGCCTGTCTTTTATCGAATCGACTTGAACGCATCCATCGAATTCCCGAGAAGTGGGCAACTTTTCCTGCCGAGCCTCCTGAGCATCCTGGTAACACCAACAATAACGAAACTTAATGTTACCGAAGAATCACGAGTAAACGCGCCACTGAAAGCTCACTCACATATCGCATGCACAACTTGCAACGCAAGCGTGACTACGCCTTGCTGTCGTTTCAATCGTCCGACGAAAGTACACTTGGCAAAAGTGCGCTCATGGATCTGCGTAATCAATCGGCGCAAATCCATCCGCCGCCAATTGGAAAGACTCGCCATTGCGAAGGGCCCGACCGAGTAACACCCCCGAACGTCACACTCGAATCGAATTTAAATTTGAAATAGCGCCACACCGATCCTCGGTTCCCACGCGCATGGCGAAAGAGAGCGAGATAAAGAGAATTTCTCGCGCGCGTATCGACGGCTCGTTCTTTCTTGCCGCGCTCGAGATAATCGGTCTGTTTTTTTTATAGCTGCTCTGCTGAAAACTGATGCAATAAACACATACCTCGTCTTACTTCAACATATTGCACTGGTTCGTTAGTGCAACTGTAAAAAAAACAGAACAGAGACAAGCGCACGGAGCCCGAGCAGACAGGGAGGAAGAAGGAAGGAGAATCTCGGGAGAGAAAGCTGCGCGCAGAGTGCAGCGGAGTGCAAGAAAGAACAGCGGGCCGGCAAAGTGGCGCGATGCGTCGCTACGCGATGTCGCTCGCGCAGCCACGTGACTCGCGTCGCGAAACATGGCACTCGGACTTGGCCAGGAAGATGGCTGCCGCGTGTTACGAAAGAGCGGACGATTTCTCGCGGGGTAAGCCGCTTCCCGACCGTCCAGAAAGCCACCGCGTCGCCGTACGTCCTCTCAGTCACGCTCGGTGGCGGCCGCCGACGCGATGGTATACAACATTGAGTGGATCATTCCGAAACTGCGGAACCCCTCGAGGCTCTGGAACATCGCCAGCAGCATAACCTTCGCGGCGGTGGGCATTTTCTCGAAAATCATCATAGGTAAGAGATATTCGCTCGCCGGTCTACGTGCGGAATTCACCGGCTCGCCGACGTCGTGTAATTGCCGACGCTCCGACGGTTTGTGCGACGCGGCCGGATGATATGCTCCGTGTCGACACGACATACATACAGTAATGCATGTGTGTACACGCGTGAGAGACGAATTTTCTGTACACACACACATTAACGCGAGAGCCATTCGGAGCCGCTCTCTCTCTCTCTCTCTCTCTCAATCCGGCGGGGCAACATCGCACGAAGGTTAAATGAAAATATATAACGCTCGCTGTGGCATCTAGTTACGGTTGACATTGACGGTGGTCGTCACCGTGCGGAAATGCGGGCACGGTCGTTACGCTCGAAACGAGAGACATTGACACGAGGGAAAAAAAGTCCGACAGATACGAGTACGCACGGTGTACGTGCGCTCGTGTCGCTAATCATACGTGCTGTTGCATGCGTGCTGGGCCGCGGATTTCGTCTAACGCCCGACGCTCTCGCTAGACAGAGTTCAAAGTCACTTCTTCATTTAAAAAAACACAGTTACAGCCACTGATCACTGTTGGTTGATGTAATATTTGCTGTACTTACGCACTATGCAGTTCTCAGAGCTATATCTTGTGATTGTGTGTTATACATACTCGTGTAACATCACATATAGTGTCTTTTGTGTGGTAGTCTTTACAATGGATATATGCTATACACACGTGACGTCATAAGGAGAAAGAGAAGTATCTAATTGGATAAACAAGGCCATACATTCTTAGTGATCTATGTACTGCTGTATATAACTTGTCACGTAGCACATGCCACATGGTATATAACATGTTCTGATTAATCTTACAATCAAACTCATATAACGGTGATCAAGGGAGTGCGAAAGTAACACTGATGATTCTAATTTACATTCATCAGTGATTCCTGACATGGTACTTGAAGCAAGTAAATTAGATACAATAATTATTGTGTCTAATTTACTTGCTTCAAATACCATGTGGGAATATTATTAACGGGGTCAGGAGATTATTAATAAATTAGTACACAATAATGATACTTGAAACAATTGAGGAATTACATGTGAAAATAGACACAAAGTCATAAAATGATATTTTTAATTCTACTATCTTAATTCATATAATATCTGAAATGTTAATGGATTGAGTGAGTTATTGGTGTAGAATGACTATTACATACATTACTATTACATACTATTATACATAAATTCTGACTATGATTTATGTTTAATCTCAGACATTAATTCAAAAATATAAATAAACCCTTAACCCATAAACTTTAAATTTTTTATTAACGAAAACAACAGGTGTAATGGGGCTTGAACATGCAATGGACAGGAATGATTTTAGATTAGCGATTCAAAAATTACGAACGTAAGTTTTAAATTAAAATTTAAGTAAATTTAATAGCTACGAGTATGATTACATTTCAGATATTAGGCAAATTCACGAACACGTCAACTTTGAAATGCAATATCACAGCGAAAAAAAAAGATATTTGAGCAAACTCAACGGCATTTGAAAGAGCAAAACTGACACTTTAAGATCCTTAAGTGTATTTTTGCAGAAAAAAAATTCACGGTACTACATAACCTCTAAATTTGGCAAAAACGGTGTTTTTCGCACGTTTAGGTTAGAATATCTCGAAAACTTGACGTGATAGAAAAATTCCGAGCTCAGATTTAGATTCAGCGCGCGAAAAACCTTCGGAAAAGTATATTAGAGTTTTAGTTTCTTGACCTCTGTTGGCCTGTATAATTAATAAACGGCGAGCACAAATAAAAAGGTGAATACTAACGTCATTCATGTTTTTGTATCTCTTAGTTACATAATTTTAACTTACGTAGATTTTAAATAATTCATAAAGTATACGGTCAGTATTGTTAATATAAAAAATGAAATATCTCATATTCTTAAATATATAATTTGCAACAGTGTTGTTTTTCTCTTCATTCTTACGCTTGATTTATTAGTTTGACGACATGATCTTTGTCAATGACTACATACTTTTCTGCTTTTTATTATATACTTATATATTAGTAATTGCTAAAAGAGGAACGTGTCTTTATCGCGTAGTATTCTAGAATAAAGCCGTCGTGATGCATAAGTTGAGTCGTATTACGAAACGCCACGTTAACTAACATCGAAAAATATTGTGTGCGAATGAACGATAATGTACAGTGAAAAAGAGGATTAGATTTAGATTTTTCTTTAGATTTCTTTAGATTCTTTTCTTTAGATTAGATTCCATTAGATTCCTTCTTTAGATTTAGTATTTCTATTTATTTGACTAAAATTTGTTTCATAGAAATAACATATATGAAACATTATTTGTTTGAGTAAAAATTTTATTGTGTCATTCAAGAAAACTCTATTATTTGACAGAAAAAAACGCTGTTATTTGAAATAATATCTTTAACTAAATAAAATATTATTTGGCACAGTAAAATGAAGTAAGTAATTTCTTTATAAGAAAATTATCTTTCTTCAAACAAATTATTTAGTTAAGATAAAGATACATATTCGTTGAAAAGGCTAACAATCGTACGTATTAATCGAAACATTAGTTTCTTTGGAGCATGCCAGTGATGAAATTCATTTGGATGCAATAAAATTTATTAAATTCGAAGAAATCTTTTATTCAGTGTGCTTTGTCGAATTTGTATGGGAATAAGTCATTCGCTCTTGCGTCATTGTGTTTTTACAAAAGTCATATTATTTAACCGTTTGAGTGCTACGCGTCTCTGCTGTTTCCCCGTTCAAACATGTCAAGGAGCGCTTTTTTGCTTGTTTTATTCCCCCTCTAGAAATGCCAAACGGCGCGATAGCGCTTGCCTTATTCTCCGACGAAGAATGCCAAGGAGAGCTATTGCACTGTTTTTTGCTTTTATACGGTAAGTTATAATGCTTTCAATTCAGTATCGTTGTGGACTTTCTTCTGAGCATAAGTACCAAGTAATATAAAAATATTATTTTATTGCATATATAAAAGGTATGTACAGTAAAATTTTCACGAATTTTTTATGTAATCTACAGTATAATTTTTATTTTATTTTTATTTGATGCCCTTCAGCAATTCAATGGCTTCTAAACCTACAACGAGTAGCATAACAGAGAATTCGAATTACGACAGTGATGATAGTGATGTTATTCTTTTTAAAAGAAGAAGGATTAACGTCATCGACGATTCTGTTTCTAATAATATCCATGATACTGGTGGTTTCGAGATATATTATGATCACGGAAAATGAATTTAATGACCAAGGCAATTTATTCCAATTTGTAGAAAAGTCGGGACCGCAAATCCGTTTATCTAATAGCGCCAAACCGATCGAATATTTTTATCTCTTTTTCACTAATTCTCTTTGGGCAATGATGGCTGAGGAAACAAACAGATATGCAGACGAAATGTTATCAACATCCATAAAAATTGATAAGTCTAGAATGATAAATTGGTATCCCAGTCACTATCGTGGAACTGAAGGCATTTGTAGCCGTATTAATGGAAATAGGGATAACAAATAAGCCAACAATATATTCATATTGGACTGAAGGTTCAAGAGCCATACCTTGGTTTAAAAAAATGTTCTCAAGGAACAGATTCCAAAATATTTTAAGATGTTTTCATGTAATTGATAACAAAAAGTGTTTTTCACCGGGACATGAAGAATATGACGCATCTGCTAAATTCAATCCGATTGTTAAGCACGCCAATCTGATGTTTCAAACATATTACATTCCACACAAAATGTTATCTATTGATGAATCTTTAGTGGGTACACTATGTCGCTCAAATATCACGCAGTATTTACCAAACAAGAAACATCATAAATGGGGCATCAAGTTCTGGATGCTTTGTGATTCAATATCAAAATATTGTGTATCGTTTTATTGTTATCAAGGCGCAAAGTCAAAGAATTCGCAAAATGGGCTTGGTTACGACGTTGTAAGAAAATTACTGCAAGATGCTGATTGTTTAGACAAAGGATATCATATATATGTTGACAATTTTTTTTCAAGCATTGTATTAGCTAAATTTTTACATTCAAGAAATACGTATATAACAGGAACAATCAGGAGAAATAAGAAAGATATTCCCAAGGAAGCTAAGGAATTAAAAGTTGGAGAAACAAAATATTTTCGCAACGACGAGGTACTTCTATGTGCACATCGTGAAAAAAAGAGTTCGAAGAACCCCGTTTTGTTCATTTCTACATAGGCATTGGCAGCGAACAGTAACTCAAAAACGCCGAGGAAGAGAAAGACGAAAAACAAAACCACATATTAATTCGTATAATAATCTTATGGGTGGTGTAGACGAGTCGGACAAAATGTTATATACATATCTGGACGAACGTCGTACGCTAAAGTACTGGAAAAAAGTGACCTTCAACATTTTTTCTAGAATGGTATTGAATTCGTATTTGTTGTATAAGGAAACTATAGGAAAGGAAGCAATGTCACGACTCCAATACACATCGAATATAATTTCTGAAATAGAACATGAATGGTTACGAACAAGGAAATATGAAATCAACATGAGGGGGAAAAAGGCGTACGGATTGGAAAAATTACGAGGACGCAATTTGAGGCGTTGCGTAGTCTGTAGTACGAAAAACGGTGCTATTAGAAGATCTAGATTAATTTGTGTAGCATGCATTGTGCTTTGACAAGCATTTTTGTATATTTTAATAAATAAATTTGCATCCAAATGTTAGATTGCAATTAAAATTCGTTCTTTTATCAGTTGTCTCATTATTTCATTTTTACCTAAAACGGAATGGTAGCCGTAAAGTCGCGCATCGACAGAAGCCGAGCGTGTGCCGGTTATCGGCTTCGCAGCTGGTACTTTTCGAGCGAAACAGAAGAAGCGCAAAATCGCTCCTTGGCACTCAAACGGTTAAAATAAAATGAATGAATGCAACGATAATGCGGTCGTTGACATACGACGTTTCAAAATAAAAGTGTGTGTGTTAGCTGTCAGTAATTTCGTCCCTTTACGCAATTCGAAGAATATATTCGAAATGCTACGGAGTATTGGAATAATTATTTTACTTAGATTACGTGAACGTAACACATTGAAAGAAAAAAGCGCTACACTGAAGGAAAAAATCTCGGTTTCTTCAGTCGAATAGGAACCAGGTGAAAACTCGGCGACAAGAAATGAAAATTCGGTGACGAGAAACGACATTTTTGTTATCGCGACTAAGAACATTCGTTTGATCGTTCAGTTGCATCGAAATTCGATAACCGAGATAACCGAAAGCAATTGACTGGGGAAACCTCCTAGATAGATCTTTCCATTCTTATCGAGTTTTCGTCTTGGTTCCCAGGCAACAGAAAATTCAGTTACACCGACGGAATTGTTTTTTTTTTCATGTACATTCAAGCGATATTCAATTATCAATTATTAATCAATTAATATTTAATTATTAAATTTAATGATTAATAAAAGTAAAATCATTATTCGAATACTCCTCAGCGAATATTTACTTCAACGTAGCGTTCTTCTTTCAGCGGAGACACTCGTAAATAGAGCGTATAATTACGAACGTCGCGGTAACGGCACGATAAACTGGACAGCAATCGATATATATTTTCAAGAGCAATTGATTCTCGTAACTTTCCGTTCTCGTGTATCGGTATCCGATTACGCACGCGTAGACGAGATTCCGATTTCCTGATGCGGCAGGAAGCGGGCATGCGTGCGCGTTTAACCTTTTGCACTGGAAGGCTCCGGAGCGGAGCCATTTAAAATTTATTTTCAAACTCGAGGACTCCGCTATGGAGACAATGCAAATAACTTTCAGTTCATAACATAAGGACAGAGACAAATCGTAAAAACTATTGTGTATAGGATATTCCGCTCTTGCTATTTGCATTTGAGTTTGAAGAGTTTGAAGACAAATTTTAAATGGCTCCGCTCCGGAGCCCTCGAGTGCAAAAGGTCAATTACAATCGAGGCGCGCTGATTAAATTGCGACTTTTAAACAGGAGCGGACAATTTTCGGACAGCTGGCCGACTACCGCGTGTGCTCGGATTAATCTAACCGAAGAATTTCTCTTCTGCATTTAAGAATGGCTGAACAAAACGACGGTGTACAACAAGCACGTTATCGTGCGCGCCTTAGATGTCCGGCCGAAAGACGTTCCGCTCATTACCGTGTCGAATCATCACAGTTGCTTCGACGATCCCGGCATATGGGGTAAGCTTTTTCACTCGTTTGTTAAATGCCTTTCGGCGCGTATAACGCGCATCATCAATCCCGCGCGCGCCGGCGGGGTGCAGAACTCGCGCGCAGCTGATTTATCGTCTCGAGAAATTGAGGGAAAAAAAGAAAGAGAGGAAAGAGCAGAAACAAATAAAGCACCGTGCGTACGAATCGTCGTCCCAGGTGTAAAGCGCCATTCGGCCGCCGTAAAACAGCATGCTTCGAGACGCTTCTTCTTTATGATCTCGAAGGCACTCAAGGCCGAGACACAATGAAACGTAAGAATAAAATTGTAGTGTCGTATGCGTCGGAAGTATAGCTGGCTTAGCTCGGAATGCTCGTCTCCGAACAAAAGGCGAGTTCAAGCGGATATCGCAAATTTTTCAAGCCATCTGAAGGATTGTAATTTTTGCGATGGAATCATGCCAGTCGCCGAATTAAAAGAGATTCGAGCGCCATCGTTTTTGGACAATTTATGCATGGGAGCGATTCACTTTCCCCACTTTTGGGGAAAAAATTCACTTCTCTCTTCACTTTTTCCTTACTTGATTTGAGCCCTGTAAAAAAAAATTCAATTACAAGAAATCATGTTGAATAACTAGCTTCTTTAAAGGTAACACAAAAGATTCAATGAAAGTAGGAAGTAACAATGACTCCGATGATGAAATATTTATAAATTGAAGAACTGGTTTTATTTAAAAAAATTTTTTTATCAGCTAAGGAAACAAAACGGCCAATGAGAGCCTAATCGCGGCTGTTGTAGCGATATATACATTTTTATTGTGGAATGATATAAATGGTTATCGCGTATTATAATGCATGATAAGCGCATAATATTCCTTGGTTGTTTTTATCAGGTTAGTTACAAGAAAATGAACGACATGAGCATATCTGACTGTGCTTTTTTTTTTTTAATTATATAATGGAATCGATTGCTTATGATTTATTCATATATGTCTACGTTTTTCCATCCATAATCTTGTTTTATTAAGCAAAAAACGAGTTATTTCCAAACGAAACAAAGAAAACAGACAGTCATTATCAGAAGAACATTTGACCGTGTTTTTTTTTTAACTGGAATTATTGAATATTACTTTTTTTTTTTAGTATTATTCTTAAGAAGTTGATTTCATAGTTTGATTTCACACAAGAGAAAAATCTATAATTTAAATATTTCTTTTTTATTTCTGAAATATGTAATTCTTTGACGAAAAGATCTGGGATACTTCAACAGAAATATATTATAAAGTAGTAGTCAATTGAACTTTAATATTATTTTTATTTTATCTCATTAAATATGCTTGAAAACACATAATTTAATTTTTTGTGAAGAGTGTTTTATTGTATATGAATATGCGCCTAAAACTGAGTTTAAAGTAAATTTGAGGTTTTACGCGTTATGTAACTTTTTTTGTTTCCCAAAATTCAAATTTTGCTCTTATTAACTTTCACTATAAAGTTGATGTTTTTAATCTCTTATAAAAATAGAGTAATAGATAACCAATTTAACTTTTAACATACAAATTGTTCGAAAAAGAGTCACTTTTTAATCATTTCTTTTAGAGCTCATTATTTTCTTACTTTTTAAGAATGAAGCTCACTTTTTTTTATTATTCTCGACAGTTAAACCGCTCCCATGCCTGACAATTGCTCGGGCAATTTCTCTTGTGCGAACGGATTTTCTGAAATATTTTCAAAAGTGCACGAGTTTGGACAAATTGATGTCTTATCGATTTGATGTCTTATTAGTACTAACGTACGATAAGATAATAGAAAATGATAATAATCAGGATAGATAAGTAAAGTGAACATCTTTCAATAGTCAATTAATAGTCATTGTTCCTGAACGCTCTTCTTGAAAGTGGAATGCAATAAGCATGAATCAGTTGCATTGTTTGTCGGGGGCCTGTTTATCGGCTATTATCGTATTCATTCTTCCTTCCTGCTTTTTATCTCTTATCTTAATTCCATTGTGTCTCCGCCGGTTTAATTGTTCACAATTAATGATCGATTCTCTCTTCAGTGCCTTTCTTCTTGCTAAGATGAATTTTCAAATTTTGTGTGTTCTCGATCATCCTCGACATACGCTCAGATCCCCCCTTTGAGACGTATTTTTCTTTCTCAGAACGACGCCGATATGCGATCGAATGAAAGAATTTAAGACAGAAAATCTCTGAACTCATTTAGCGTCACTAGACTTCTGGCACGGGATCAATCGACGTAAGATGCGATGGTCACTCGCCGCACAGGACATTTGTTTCACGAATGTCTGGCATTCCTACTTTTTTATGCTTGGCAAGTGTATACCTATCGTTAGAGGCGACGGCGTGTATCAGGAAGCCATGGACTTCTGCATCGAAAAGTTGGCCTGTGGCGAGTGGGTACACGTCTTCCCTGAAGGAAAAGTGAACATGCTCAAGGAAGACATGAGGTTCGTACCGAGAATATTTTCGCAATTCTCTTTTCAATACTTCGAAAAACAACGCAGTCTTACTGTGCACGATGTCACAATTCGTTGCTGTATATATCTTAATTGGAAATCTTGATTGGAAATACATTCAAACTGCTTTAAAAAAAAAATGAGAAAAAATTGCTAATACTGGAAATAGCTGAGTTTCTTATGCTGTTGAGTTATTAAATATTAATCGTCATTTATTTCTGAGAAACGTCTCTCGCACCGCAAATATTATTATTCATAGCGTAGCACGTGCAGACAAAAAAATTTATAGATGAGCAGGCTGCATAGCAGAATTCATGTTACTAATATAAGATATCCAGGCATCATTCAACGAGGATTGAATCGATGATACTGTTTAGGTTGAAATGGGGCGTGGGCAGATTAATACTAGAATCGCCCGTCACGCCTATTGTAATTCCTATCTGCCACCTCGGTATGGATCAAGTACTTCCCAACGAGCCGCCGTACATGTTAAAAACGGGGAAGAAAGTTACTTTGAATTACGGCGAGCCCATAGACTTTAGCGGATTGTTGGCCGAATTGCGGGCGTCAAAAGCGAGCGAGGTGGAAGCGCGGAAAGCGATAACCGATCACATTCAGGAGGAACTTCAAAGGTAGGACGGCAAATTGTGAGCCTTTACGTCGCATGTGTTGCTTAGTAAATAACCAGTGACGAGAGCAAGAACGACGAAACGAACGAAAAGTATTTCGATACACTTTCAGATTGAAAGCAGCAACGGAAAAACTTCATACCAACTTATGACGAAGATGATCCTTCTACGTCATCTCTCCGTCTCTAGCCTTAATTTGCCAAATATATAAAAAGAAATAATCAATCACGTGAAACGTGAGATGCGTATAATAAGTTAGTTTTCTTTTTTTTAAAGTATACACTCATATTGTGTAATTATATTTGTGACAATATCGGTTAACGTAAGCAACTGTTGTATAGAAAGTCGCTGTACGCTATGAAGTTTTCATCGTCTCTAATTATTTCTAACAAACTCTCCGAGAAACTACTTGATGTGCGTATATATATTCGTGTGTGTATCGAAGTTACATATTTTCTCGCAGTTATGCGCGTTGAGAATGTGATATTGACGAAAATCTTGACAGAAATCTTATAGGTACAAGTGAGATTTAATTATATTTAGATTATATTTGATTATATATTTAATTTTAAGTAGTTTCTCAACAAAAAAAACTGCATATTTTAAGTTTATTTAGCTCTTAAAACTGTGTAAAATTTAATTTTATCCGATTCATTATTAAGATATTTTAGAGATTGCACGTTACTATCAGTGATAATGACCAAGCAAATATTTTCTAAACAAAAAGTTGACTGCAATCTCGCCAAAAATGCGAAGAGAATGCACAAAAATTGTGATACACTCTACATATATATTCATCGTCGAGAGTCACATGTTTCTCATGGAGGGATACACCGCGTCTCTTGTAAAATAATTTATAAATATACATGTTACGGTGTAAAAGTGATCAATCGAATGTTTTTTTTTTTTGGAATGACCAATGTGCACAACATATAGGATATTGACAATCCTACATATGCAGAAACATAATCAATGCGCTGTGACCACTTTCACCGTAACATATAAATTATACATGTACATAGCACAGATATTAATGGTAGCTGACATATGTGGTCCTTTTATGATTGTCAATAAAAGTTTTTATAGTACAAGCGGAGATTACGTAATACAACTGAAGTTTAAAGTGAATATATAAAAGCCGTGCCAGTACCTCATTAATTATTCTATTTTCGAAGTCAATTTAAGGTCACTACAGTGCGGATATATAGCACACTTGGCCATTCATTATCTACTCTGTGCTTTCGTTTACGAGCACCGTGCCAATTAAAAAATTTTTACTTATTTTAACCGAAGAACGCGTAGTGGACGATTGCAGATTTGATATAAGCAAGCACTAACGTACAGCGTGTCTTATGTATTATAATTAGGATGTTTGTGCACTGTTTCTACAATGATACGATGTGTGAATTTACATATAAAGTATCGCATGAGAAGCATATTTTAGCGAGTAAAGCACAGACGAAAAAGAAAACATTATTTCATTTGTAAATATTCGTAACGAAAACGACACGACATCGTTGGCCAATTACGTGATTCATTTTTCTCTTTTTGAATATTTATTGCAATTATTTAGGGGCCCTAAAGAACTGTCACGATGACAATCGCGTATTTACACGCGTTCCCATACTCGCACGTGTATGTTAATACATATACTTTTATACTGTACGTATAATACATGAACTGCTATCAAAATTTTGGGCTACCTGAACGTGATATATAAATTTGTATATGTATTATATACTTTTGTTGGATATATTATTAAGTATTAAAATAGCGTCTCTCTTTCATGAAATAAAATTTGTCTTGTTTGTTTGATTGCTGTCTCGATGTTTCTCTTATTATCAATAAACGCAAAATTTGTTCCCTTCTCTAGAATAAGGTCCTTGTACAGTTTCTGCATGCTATATACACTAATTGTATTGTACAAATACATAAGCCATTATGTGAGCCTCTCTACAAGGCGAAATCTAAAATAACGCATCGGAAACCTGCTATTCTCAAAGGACTCTAAGAGTTTGGTATGTTCATTGGTTCTAAAATTTTTATTACTACGTGCATAAACAGAATTTATAATAATAAAAGAATAGTACTTTTGTTGTCGGTAAATGCTAATTCTGTATCTATCATTCGGGCCTGTTAGATCGATATCAACAATTTTAAATAATTTTACGTGTGAACACACATCACAGATAATAATAGATTCTGACAATATAACATGGTGTTGTCATGTGTATGTCTCAAATTTTGTTTAATATAAAATATTTCATGATATAATATTTTTACTTATTTTTTCCTTTTCATTTAATTTTTTTTTTTTACTTAGATATGCGAGCAAATTTTTAGAAACGAATATCATTAATACGGTGAACCCGAACGGCAGATTACGATCGAACGGTCAATATTCTATTTCCATTTTATCATTAATACACGTTTTTTGTCGTTATGATATACACCAGACGGTCATATTCGACGAGAATAATGTCACACTGTTGTCATATACATACCTAAGACAGTGGTAAGTGTATTAAAACGTGTAATTATGTTACAATTATCGTTATAGCATCCACAGACAAACGTTATATGAGACATGTACTTGATTGTGTTCTCTCGACATATAGAAATAGATCACACTATAGCCTACCGGTGTCATATTATCTGTCAATACGAAGATCGTATATCCCTTGGCACGTTTTTAATTCGTAAGACTGAACAGTCCGGTTTTACGAGCGATACAAAAGCGGCGTACGATCCTCGCATTGTGCCGCGCGAACACGAACGAGAACTATATATGCGCGTTCATATATTTATATATTTATATATATATATATATATATATATATTATGTATATATCATAAACTTTGTATAGACAGAACAGTAGATATAAGTATAACGAGAGAAAATTCATTTAATATGCATACGTAGTACTATCACTCCATTGTATATCACTTTTTTTCTTTATTTTTTTTTATATTCAAACAAATTTAATATTTACATGAAAGGAAAAAAAAAGTAAACGAGCCAGGCGCGACTAATAATAATAATAATAATAATAATAATAATAAGTTATAAATCGATCGCGAAACTTGGCTCGTATTTCAACCAGATACATATAATCAGATCTAATAAAATTCTATGGTGCTATATAGATTGGTTGTGCAAGACCGAGATATGTGTTGGACTAGAAAAACGTGATTTCTCTCGAAGTATTACACGCGCTTGATTTTAATCTGTCGTGATGACAAACAATCGAAATAAATTTAAAAACTTTTCAGATTGCTCCCAACATAGATTACTGTACGTCCCATATATTAACGGTATATATCTTTAAGTAATCCCTAAAACGTATATATAGTTACACATACGGGAAGAATACGATATAGGACGATTCATAAAGTGGCAAATTTTCAGAAGCATTTTGGTATTTTGATTTGTTGTTTCCGTTCGTTTTAGGCTCGTTCCTGGACGGCAGGTCTAATACAGTGAAGCAAGCATTATGTATTATATCTCATATAAACGTAGGCCAGACGCTAAAATGGATCAGTATGTGTGTGTGTGTGTGTGTGTGTGTATGCACATGTATATATGTATGCATATTGTGTGTGTGTGTATATATATATATCACAAATCTGATATATTGTACTTTTAATTTAATCGTATAAGCTACAAAACCGCACGTATTTACGTTGCGCGAGCATCTATAAATAATATATTGAATCTTCGAAGTTCGTAAAAGATACAAGTGTCGCGATCGAAATGAAAGTTACTCAGTACCATTAGGAGTCACAAGAAGCACGACGAAGCTATTCATCCGGACGATCCCTCTGCATCCAACGCAATAATCTACAGGTATACACCGTTTGTTCTAATTTAGCAGTTCTTTGTTCGTGGTATAATTGTCGCACCGGCGAAATTTTCCTTGCACGGTGGCCTCTTTTTACATCTGTCTATCTATCTAACGCACCTAACGATTTCCATTTGCAATCCTCCGCAGCCTGGTCTTGTCGAAATTGCAGATGCTACCGAGCAGAGCGGCGCGCTCATTCGTCGATTTTGATACACTGTTCGACGCACCACCGGATGCTTCAGACGACGGTGGCAGCGTGGGAGGTGGTGGAACGGCCTTGCCAGGAGCTGCATCTCCATGCGGAATATCCACGGAACCTTCAGCGCGAAAGAGACAAAATAATAGACTCTCGGCAGCGTGCTATGCGCGTTCCGTTCTAAGGAATTCTCGGGAGAGAGTTGTCCAAGAATGCTCTAAAAATCGTCTAAAAATCTCTTTGAGAAATCGGACGGAAACATGGGTAGTAATATAAGTGGCAACCACATATCAGACAGTATTAAAAGACCTAAGGTATGCTAAAGATAAGCTAAATAACGCTCATTAAATAAGGAAAAGATAAAGTACAATTCATACACACACATCGACCTGTAAAAGCATTGATGAAGGAAAATCATATGAAACGGAAAGATGAGGGTAATCATATGAAGATTCGATAGACATTGAGAAGACATTTGAATGCTCAGATGACCTACGTGAAAGGAATGACTTCAGCACGCGCCATCAACTTTTGTGCCCAGCTAATTAAGAGACGTTAGAAACGTAAATGTTAATTAGCATCAATGGCAATAGAGTGCAAGGAGCATTGTGGTGACTTACGAAGCGACGGGGGAGTTAACGTTCCAACGCTGGTAGCCGTGGAAGTACTTGTCGGGCTGTCCGAGCGTTCCGGACTCTTACCGTTCACTTGTTTCGTGCCGTTTGTGCCCAGCTGCGACGCGGAACGTTGTTCTTGCGCCAGTTTCTGCTCCTTCTTCTGCAAAAGTGGCAACCGCATTGGGGGTCTTTCGCCTTCAACGACCGCGTTTGCCATCCTATTCCTCCCCCCTTTTCTTTCTATTTTTCTATACACTTACCAATTTATGTTTTCGTTTCTTCATCTCTTCTTCGGAGCTCATCATCTCTTGAACCTTGACGAGCCTCTTCTGGTGCCGGGCGACTTTCTGTTCGTCTCGCAGTCGTTGCTCGGCTTTATTTACAGCTTCCTGCAAGGCTTCCTTCAGATGATTGCTCAATTTGAAGTGTGGCTTTTCCACGGCGCCGATGGCCAACGCAGTGCGCCTTGCCGATTCGAAAAATGGATGCTCCAGTAGCCGAGCCACCATCGGCAGATCTTGCTTTAGAGCTTCCGGCGATAGGATCACTTCCAACAAATTTTTTAAGCTCGCGTCGCAGTGCGGCAACTCGGAGCACGTAGCCTCCAAAAGTGGCCGTCCGAATGCCATCTCGTACAAAACGTGCCCGAATGAATACACGTCAACTTGGGTCTGTGTTGCGAGGAAAAAAAAACAAAGATGTATCAACTTTACAGATAAAAGACATACAGGAATATAGATAGTCCCCTAAATGATAATACAGCCAGGATGAGGATAGTTTTATACGATAGGATAAATATAGGAAATCTTTTCGTAAGTGAAATTTTGTTTGAAGGAAAAATAGCTCGTAAAATCAATCTTTTCATTTTCTCAAATTCGTACTATTCGAAAATACTATTCGAAAATGATTTGGGCATTATGGAATATCATATTGTGACGTCTTGTCATATATTATACTACCGTGGCATGTAGTTTGCGCCTCTGCACTACGTAAGGCCGGTAAAATGCTGGCAACCCGAGCAATCCATTTTCTATATCCAATAATTTGGCGCACCTCTGAGTTAAGAGTATATTACCAGTATGTAAATGTCCGTAAGGTAATCCTTTCTCATGAAGGTATCCTAGAGCTTCCAATATCTGTAAATGATATTATTATTATTACAAAGGACAACTGACATATCTGTTTTACTACGATTTTACTGTTTGTAAGTAGGGATGTTGTGATTTTTATATGATGTATCGTAGCATATTGATATGATACTAGGTATCGATATTTTTCTTTCAATACCGGATATTTTTGTATCGTTATTTTCTTTCTGTATTCGTACCCATATTTTTTCCTGATTTTTTACTCAGACGATTTTCAAGATATCATTTCTGCTTCACGAGAATTACCACATTAACACCCTAATACATTCTTTTTAAAGTTTTTAGATCACAAATCGTAGAAAGACTCGTGTAAAGAAGGTAAAAGTAGCTCGCAAGATAAACATTTCTCTGATATTTATATCTACTCTAATTCTAAGTTTTTCAAGTTTTGGCACCAATATCGACATTAATATTATTAACTTTGTTACGATACTGGTATTACTAATAATATCGGTATCCTTGATTAGATATCTGTTCCAATATTAATATTGACACTTTCTTAGTATCTCTCTTGCAACCCATCCCTATTTGTAACGATTACTAACCTGATAACCGTATGTGGCGACTTCCGACGTGACTAACGATTTTATTTGCTTCGGATTTCCATATTTCTTTATGAACGGTTGCTTAGGCTTGGTAACGCACAGAATGTCGTGCAGTGTGCCGGCCGGATAGAAGTTCCTTATTATTAGTGCCCCGTTGTCCGTGACGTGCTGATGCACCATCGGTTCGATGTAAGTATGCCGTAGAGAGCCTAGAGTCTTAAAAACCCCTTGTATATCTTTGTCTTGCAAATGTTTATCAGGACCGAATTCAACCCAGGCCAAGAGAAGCTCCTGCTTAGGGTTCTGCCTATTCTTTACGGTATAGTAATGCTTTCTTAATCGCCATCCCATGTCAGGGATGGGCTTGCATACTTCATAATTCGCGTCACTCCGCAGCGCTAGTGACACTTGTTGCAATGCGATTTCTGGGGAAAGGTGATTCTTATTAATGCTTACATGCTATTTAAAATTTGAGCCAATGTATCAAATTAATATAAAATTATAATAACTTTTCCAAAGTTGTATCAGAAGCAATCCAAGTCAGTCTATCCATATGTCAATTTATATTGCATGCTGGATCATGAATTATTTTGCTTCATTAATCATCAGTAAACTTACCATGTAACGGTGCTGTATAATTTTCAGGGTCTAAAAACCTTTTCATAGGAAGCGAAGATGCTAGTATAGGATTCATTAGTACTATGTTTAGATAATTCTGAAAGAGAAAGGGAAGATCTCATTTGCTTTGTTCGTTTGCGTAGAAATACTGCGCATAAAATTACAATAATAATAATTGTTCTGATGAGACAACAAACCTGTAGTGCTATTTGTCGCTGAGCTATAAAGTCTGGTTCCATATTACCGATAATTCGTTTTGGTGGTAGTGGCAGGTCGAAGCCAGATATGGATAGAGCTGTATTGAGCTGTACGAAGTCATTGTAACGTCTACTCACTCGCCAAGATCTTTCGGGAAGCGGGCCTCTCTGTGTTTTTATAACGTATTCCTGAATAAAATACAAACGGCGCGAAGGTCGTCGTTAGTACGGTGCGCTGCAGCTGGATCGACGTAAAAGTGAAAACAAACTTCGAAAATACAACATGGCAACTGATACTGTTGAACAAACAGTTTATCCTTTTGCACACAACACGGATGTTGCATTATAACGAGATATATATAACTACAGTCCCACTGGGGAACAACGATCTCGATACACGCACGCTTTAATTAAACGAGACAAACAAATTAAGGTAATAATAGGATAAAATAGGAAGGAAGGAAAGAGACGGAGAGAGAAAAAAGGAAGGAAAGAAGGAAAGAAAGAGAGAGAGAAAGATCTCGAGGGACAGAGTGAATGAAAGAAAGAAAGAGAGAGAGTGAGTGAGAGTGTGAGAGAGAGAGAGAGAGTGAGTGAGTGAGTGAGTGAGTGAGTGAGTGAGTGAGTGAGAGAGAGAGAGGCGAAAATATTGGAGTGCATACCGTATGTCCGTCGATGGTCCTAGCATTTTCGATAACGCTCGTCAGCTGCTCCGTATCATCTAACAGCACTTTATTCGTGTATCTCTTCTCGAATAAAGCCATTGATCATTAGTCCGCGGGTAGGCAGGGCCCGTGCAGGGCGAACTGCGTCTGTCTTTCGCACCGTTTACGCGCGTCGCCATACATGACGCGCTTCTGCTTCATTTCAACATTGGCGAACGCTTAGCGTGGTGCGCGGCCACTTTATCGCGGGTAATTCCCAATGTCAACTGTGTCAGCAGCTATGATGCGCTGACAACGTAAGAGGAGCGAACGAGCGCGAGGCAACCACTATCTCCGCCGCGGTGGAATGCTAGAGCCGCCGTCGACAACACTCACCCGTCATCTTATCGCTGTGTGTGTGACGTCACACAGCCCGGCGCGCGAGCGGCTCAGGTGGATTTCTAGGGAAGTTATCGCGTCTCTCTCTCTCTTTCTCTCTTTATCTTTCTCAACTATTCGATCGTGTTTCTTGTGAACTGCCCAAGCTCTCTCGGTCGGCCCCCCGGTGGAGATCGATTTATCTCAATACGTATCGCCGATTCGAATTCATGATTCGAGCAATAAAGCGCGCCTATAAAATGGTAATTGATATTATTCGTAGACCTTCACCGACTGTAACAATAATCAGCGTAAAAACGAGAGAATGAAAGTAACTGAAGGTGACAGGCAGCTGATTAATTCGAACTGCGTGAATTGAAGAGAATAAGAGGAACGAACACTGAACGGGGGGGTTACAGAAAGTGCAACTGGAAAGAACGAACCGCCGGTCATGCGCGCGGGCGGTACGCGATGACACTGAACGCCATTGGTGGAGACGGCCGCGATCAGTTGCGGCCAGTAGCGGCAGCGACTGGCGATAACCTGAGTCGTTCCAGATCGCTCGTACGTAACGTGTGCGTCTCCGACGTTTCACACGCAGTTAGTGCGAGACAGCGAGGAGGATGAGAAGAGAGAGCAGCCGAGACATGTAACCGGGACTTGTGCAGCAGCTCTCGTCCAGCTCCGCTCTCGTTCTTCTTTTTGATGCAACGGCGCGTCACGATAATTCCACGATAAAGCTGTGTGATGACTGTCACGGTGACGGCGAGCGAGTCGAAGTCGAAGCCGCGATTTCTCATCAGCAAGATCCTGATTTATTGACGAAGGCGGGAGGCGTCTGAAAATGACGGAGAGCCTGATAAACGAGTGGCTGGCGGACTGCAAGGACGTCTCGCAGTCGGAGCTGCACACGTTCGCCAGCACGCTCTCGCAGGACAACGAGATCGTGCGAGCGCTCTACGTGCTTCTGGAAGAGCGCACTAAATATAGCGAGGTACGTGTGTGTGTGTGTGTCCGCTTTTAATCGAATTAACGAGTGTTTACCTCACGCAGTGAACCTCGGCCGCGTCGCGTCACGCGAGGATGATTGTACCTCACTTTTGATAATGAGCTCGGTTTCTCATCGCTCTACCAACACGCGCAAACATTTTGACAGTGTGCTTTTACGCACGCATAGAGGAACTGTCGCAATGGTTGAAATTTTATTGCACGTGTTGTTTGTTGTACGAATTGTAAATAGCTTGAAATTGATATAATTCATCATTTTATTTGCAAACAATGGGATTTTATAATATTAACAATATAGAGTATCTGTCAGAGGGATATTGCGCGTTAGTTTGTTGAATTTGTAAAGTATCTCTCTATGTTTTGAATTAACGTTGAGCGTGTTACATTCTGGATTACTGTTACAGTTGATGGACACAGTATGTAACCAATTATATAATTTCTACCGATCCCGGGAAATAGAGTTACAAAGGTTTACTCTGCAGTTTTTACCGACATTGATATATATTTATCTAAATTCTGCCGCTCATGGTGATATTAAGGTGAGGTTGCATTCTTGTTAAATTAATGACAGAAATATATTATTATGCATATCATTTTGTGTACAATCATGATATATAATTGGTACTTATGAGAAGTTATGTAATACGGAGGACGTGTAACTTATATGACAAATATTCCTAATACCTTGTATTACTTGGTTGTGTAGTACAATAGAAAATGGAGAAATTGTCAAGGATAGATTAGTTGATCTTTTTTACAATTTTATTATAATTTTTATAAGCAGTTACACTTTTTGATACATTTTTTAAAATTAATTTCATAATTAAATAACACACTTATTAATAACATTTTACTTCCAACAGAGTTGTCGTTCCCTTGAAACTTTATTGATTGGATTGTATAATTTAGAAGTGGTGGATAAATCGGGTCAACAAAAAGCAATCTCATTTAGATTACCATCTCTTGCTATGTTATCTATATTCCATCAGGTATGCTGGCACATATTATGTCTAACATATAAAATACAATTAAGAAAAAAAAAATAGAAATTAGAAATTTTCAATTTGTTTTCAAGAAAAGAGAAATGATCACGGGAATGTATTGTTGTGTAATTTAAATCAATTTTTTCTCAGCAAAGTTGAAGACAGCACAGTCTAGTTGAAAATTTCTTAATTTTATAAACCATACACATTTTATAATCTTTTGGAATTATTATCTATGATTATATAGTGATGTTATTTGCAACAGCCTGAGACTTTAGCGCCAGCATCGTTAACAGTAAGCGCGGTACGTCGTTTTGAAGAGTGTAACACGAAACTTGTGAGCTGGGGTCCATTGCAGCAAGTGGAGACATTGAATGCACAAAATCGATTGAAGGTCATGACAGCTCTACTTTTCATCTACAATCAACAACTTGGTTATATAAATAAATTTGCCATGGAACAGTTGTGCAAAGTTGCGACAAAGTGAGTTTAATGAGGATTATTAATTAAATATGCTAACTCTGTTGACACAATTCTGTTTCTGCAGACTTGTTACTCAAGGATTTATGAAACCAGGACATCATCAGCGTTCTTCATACGGCAGCGAGTCCAGCTTCGTTCCGAGGCTTTTGCCACGCATACCAGTGTCCAGCCAGTTTCTCTTGGAATTCTCACATGCTGTATATTTTGCCATGTATGTAACATACGTTTTGCATTATCACAGATTTGCCCAAATTTTTTTAGTCTTGTTTCAGTAGAACATCTTTTTCACTACATATCTTAACTAATCGCTTATTTTGAGGAGATCTAGCATTAGAAATGATTTATTAACATTTTGCATTTTTACGAAATATATTTCACCATGGAATATCATTGTTTGTAGGTATAACGAATGTTGGTATGTGGCAAATCAAGCGATAGAAGATATTCACAATAGAGCGTGTTATGAAGCATATCCGAGTGTAATGTTAGTTACTAATGCTATACGCAACTCTGCCAGTTCTGGAGCACCAGGTAGTTATCTTAATAATATATAACGCACAATGCGTGTTTTGGCTATTTAAGTGTTAGAGAAATCTGCTACATTCCAAAATCTGTGGCATACAAAAATAGATTTTCTAAAATTTATTTCAATATTTTTCACAGGTCAAGCGAACGATGGACCAATTGGAATTAGTGTTGCATTGTCCCCAGCAACCACTACACCAACCGTTTCAAAGTCTATGATCACAAACGCTTCCTTCCGTACTAAGAAATTACCAGGTATGTTCTTATATTTTGTTTATCTTTATTATAAAATATTAATCTGGTGTCTGCGTAAGACGTGCGTAAGACGTGTGAGATAAATTTAACAACAACAATAACACAAAAATGTACTAAATTTTGAGGACATATTCTAATAATATACATTAAATCATTAAATCACTATTTTTTTAATTAATATTTAAATATATGGAAAAGATAAAATACATCTAATCGGTTCTCATTTTTCCACCAAATCTTGGGTACTTTTCAAAAAGTTTATCTAATTCTTCTGTTTATGCTCAAAATTGATTTATACGATTGAATATAATTAATGTATTTTACACAGTAAGTTTTGTATATTGGCGAATATATCTCTGGTGGACCAATAAAGGTGCTAACCACTAACGGCAATAACATCACAGCTGCGTTCCATTAAAATAGCTAACCACGCATAAATGAAATTTTTTAATGGTGTGTTTGAATATTAGTTACCTCACACGATCCTAATGTATACAACAGACGTAACTAATAGACAAGCGGATATGCATGGACATGAATGTGTCAAGTATTTTTAGGCCCAAGCTTGCATGCGACATCCCCCTATGAGTTTTATGAGATTATTGCTGAATTGAAAACGTTCTTTTTTTCTTCCATGAGCGAATAGTTGCATTAATGAGCAGATATTGATACGATAATTTCCCACATTTCTGTGAGAACCATGTGCAATGTACTATTTACATTTCCTTCACGTTTGTACTGTACGATCTCCCTTGTACTAATAAATCGCAAATATCGTGTACTTATACGTTTTACATTATAGACACGTACAAAATATTGATCCGTGAAAAATTCACACATTACGAAAGATATAAGATCTTAAGATACATGTATACAATAAGTTAGACTTATATAAACACACGAAGAGAAATCCAACAAATGTGGATTGCGCGCCTGTGTCATTAGACGATCTGGATGAGAAGTTATTTGCGGTCGAATTGAGCAATTGTCAAGTCGAGAAGCAACAGCAACCGACAGTGTCCGGGAACAGCAAGCGTCGCCCGTGGCATTGGAAGCACACGCTTCCAAGCTCCGATAAGAAGGACACGGTGGGGAGGGCGCATTCCTCCTCTTCATTGGAAGGCTCCAGGCGTGGGAGTATATCCAGCAGCCATAGCTCGCCGATAAAGTCCTCTCCTAAAAAGATCAGCAAAGATCAGCAGTCGAAGAAAGCGACTCACGAGAATAAGGACGACGCGAGTCAGAAAGCTAGAAAAGATAATAACGCAAAGTGCGATTCCACCAGCTTTGCCGACGATCGATTGGCCGCTAACGCGCATCTCTATAGCGTATTAGAGGAGCAGGCGCTGGGAGAGATCATTCGAGAGTCGGTGGAAAATTTGTATACGGATGGCAATAGATCGATCAATTATTGCGCCACTGCTGCGCTGTCATCAAACATATGGTATTGTCACTTCAGTTCACAACACACTGTAGGATGGCGTAAATCTCTATCTCTCTCATCACGCTACAATTCTCCATCAAACTTACAACTATGTTTTCATTTGGTGTACACTAGCACACGCAAAAAATCAGTTGATATCTATACATACATATATATATATATGTATATATATACATATGATACATATAAGTGATTCATGTGATCGTGGATGTATTCCTTTCAGAAACACCAATCCCAGCTATAACCAGACATACGCATAAAAAACAGAGTCTAAACAGAAACACGCATGACCGGGAAAATATGCATGTCGACACGGCACATTTATCTACCCGCACCAAAAAGTTTCAAGTACATTGCTTGACTAGAAAATGTATATTTGATATTTCTTCCCTACTGTAACTGTATCTTCTTTGTATCTTTTTCGCTACCCTCATTTGAATGTTATCTCTTTACTTGCGACCTTCCCTTTTTATTCCGTTGTATTACATCTTCTTTTGCACTTGGATATTCTCTGTCAGTTAAGTGTTTGATATTATTTATATAATGTTCTTTATNAGAGTGTCCCCCCCCCCCCCCTCCAACAGCTATAAACGATATATCTGTAATACATTATAAAAATACACACAATCAATACGTAAGAAAAGAAAGACGCTGGTAAAATATTCTCATTGAGTACAAAGATAAATATCTCTGTGTCGTACGTGTACAATATGCAATTGATATGCTATTCGAGTATTTAATTTTGTCCCCCTTACATCGATGCCGACATACGTTATAAGACGTTATTTCACACGCGTAAAATGTCAGCGAATCATTACATAGAATTTATCGATATGTATGTTTCTCCCTGCCTCTATCTGAGATGCTTGTCAATTTTTAATATCGCTTTTATTATTGCCAAGTCCAGTTTGACGGTGAAACTGTCCCACCCGCGGAAAGCAATACTGCATGAGGATTTTCTTTTGCCTTCAGATGACATACCGATACAAGTTGTAAAAGATGAAACTACCGGAGAATGTAAAAGTAACCTGGTATCGATCACGGAGGAGCAAGAATCAACGGAGCCGAATCGCGTTGGTTCCATCAGACAATCAAAGGAACAAAAGACTGCTTCGAAGATTACCAATTTCCCGGTACTCGGTAAGAAACCTAAGGAGAAAGAGGGGAAGGTAATGAAGAACGCCCACCTGGTGTCCGAGAAGGAGAAGAAGCTCGGCTCTCAGACGACGTCGAGGGAGAACATCAAGGGGAGTCTGTCCATGTTGAACAATGATCAGACGGAGGTAGACGGAAATGTGAACGGATGCGCGATCCGAAAGAAGAACAACAGTATAGAGAACACGATTATAATAGATCCGAATATTGCGTTGATAGACAGCGAGAGGCTGGCGTCGATTAGTGGTGATAACGACAGTGATAATATCGATAACTCTATAAATCTAAGAACGCATAACGAGGCGGAATCTATGGGTTCTTCGATTCAAGTTAGTTCAGTTTAACTGAGGATAGAAGTCTGTCCGAGTGTTACCAATAGTAATGGACTGGACATGAATTAAACAAATAAGTCGTTCTCTTCCATCTAGCAGATCTTGCGGAATAATTCGTGTTTAATCGTGTATAAATGTGTCTTTTTTTTTTTTTTTTTCGTAGAATCATTCAAAATCCAGACATCAACAGAGTATAATCTCTCTATTGTACCACTGCAATATTTCCGCGTAAGAGTCGTGTATTTCTATTTTACTACACGTGTAGCCGTTTTTCAGTCAGTCCATTACTCTACTGATCTCCGATGGTATATATTGAGAATAAAAAAGGAGAAAAAAATTAATAAAAGGGAAAACACGGGATGCGGGAACAATGAACTAACAGTGGTGCGCGGTTGTTTTGTTAAATGACTTGTGCATATATTGGGATACGTATTGATATATAATTTTTGTAATTTAATCTATAATTTATTCGTTATATTTTATAAGTGTACGCGCCGGTATATATATATATATATATGTATATTTGACATTGTGTAACATCTTTGTCCACAAATACGGTTATCGAGTTTCACTTCTAGAGATTATAGATTATCATAACGGCGGAAGAGACGAAACAAAGGTTATTACATTGCAATACACATATTGATACATACATGTGTGTCCCACCCAGATGTGCCGCATGATACTTGGAGCATTTTTCCTCCTCATTCCGAGTGTGTAAATAAACTTGTTTGCCCAAAGATACGTTTCAATTGCTGGAAGAGCAGAACAAGGTGGAAGGCAGTGATTTAAGGGATCGAGACGTTTGAAGTACAATTGCGATGTCACTTATTGTAAGTGGGATGAGGATGTGCTGGTAAAAGTATCGGGCATGTCTGGGTCAGAATGATTGAGAAACCCGCTATTACTTTCCGTCATAATTGTTCCGAGATATGATATTGACAAGTCACGACGAGAATAATCTGTTTTGCAAATAGTTATGAATATTGATATAAATATATATACATATATATATATATATATATGTATGTATGTATGTATATATATATATATATATATGTAATTGTTGAAAATAATTACGAGACTCTAACTCGAAGAGACTTTATTCTCACGTGAAAGTTGACTCACGTTGAAAATGGTCAACTAGTCGGGAAGTTATGTCATTTGAGCATGAAAAAGCGGGAAATCGCTTCGTTTAACGACGCATTCGTTTAACTCGCACTCGACTTTCCTCAGTGTCTCATTGTGGATTTGTGTTTAAGCTCGTCTAAAAAGCGGTCAGACTGCGTAGTTATGTGTATCGACCTCACGAGAGCTTATCCTCCGTGAGATCGATATGCACGCAACTTTCTAAACTTTCGTAAACTTAGTACTGGATTAGTGACGTAGCTTCGACGAGATAGTAGCAAGTGATGGCTGTGGCTTCTGGGCGCATTACCAAGTTTCATGTTCACACGAATAGCAAAGTGTTTCTAACAAAAGGATTTCCGTAAAAATTAATATTGATCATACAAGAGATATTAATTCTAACGACGTATTTACGTATCTTTATCAAAAGATAAGTGAAGGTGCAAAATTGACAAGTGCGTATTTGTGTCCGGAAGAGAAATGTTACATTATAATTAAGCCTCTTCTCAATGTTTTATTGAGAAAATGCTATTTTATAACCGTAAAAAAATATTGTGATTTCCTCTGTTAGTTCCCGCTACTTTATGCCCATTTTGTGCAGAATTGTACTGATACATTAACATGTAAATATTATAAAAAGAATGATGTATAGAGAGAGAGAGAGAGAGAGAGAGAGAGAGAAAATCGGAAGAATTTGATTCAAGTGTAAGAAAATCATATTATATCGATAATTGCATTTGTTAATGAAATAGGTCGGGTAAGTGTTCCAACTATAAAATAATATATCATGTGTGAGAGTGAAGTGAAGCAGAGTCAATCTCGTTCAAGGATCAGTTATTAATGAATTACCCTATGGCCTATATTGTATTAATTAAAAAATGTAACATGAAATGTAAAAATACATTGAAGTTATTGGAAAAAGCAATGATAATAGCAGTAATAAAAATAAATGTTATTCTATTTACACACGATCCTTTTATAGTAATTTATATATTATATCCTATTTGTGATTTTATATATATATTTCTCGTGTATTATGTAATTAATTCATTTATTTTTAATCTTAAATTGCATATTCGCAAAGGAATCAAACGGTGATTTCTTTTTACGATGAAAAGTTGGCAAAATTCAACGGCTGTAATTTTGACGAAAATAATAGTAATGGAATAGTTTAAAAAGCACTTACAAATTGGAATCTCAGTTTCCAATCGTATTTTCGAATATGAATTCCACTCATCTTTTACGATGCTCCATGAATAAAAATTGAGATCCATTAAGTACTGTAATGTTTTATGAAGTCGTCGAGTTACATCACGCAAACCGAAAAGTACACGAATAACGTTCATAGAGTTTGAAAAAGTGAACTTTCCCCTTTAATTTGCATTTACGCAGATCTAGGACAACCTTCTTTCATCGAGTTATTCAACGGTGAAGGAAAAAAAAACATCCTGTCATCTTTTTAATAGGTCACGGAAGACGAATGAATTAATATGCAACGTTTCTCGATAAACAAATAGAAAGTTCTCTCTTTAAAATGCCCTTATCGTGTATCTGATAAAAATAGTTTTGTTATTGTAAACACCTACTTAAAAGATGAGCTTGAAAATTGAACGGTCATTTCTCATTTAATTCAATATATTTTGGCAACAAACAATAATAGTATCATAAATTTAATACGCCTAAAAGTAGAAACTTGATGCTTTAAGATGCTTCTCGAACCATTATCATTATTTTTGCCGAAATTACAGCTAGTTGGACTTGGTCTATTTTTCATGCAAGAACAAGGGTATTTCTGATTTATTATTATGTCATACTACTTGAAAATATACTTTGCGTTCTAACTTCCATTAAGTCCGTATCAGACTATGGATTAGGGATTGCGGATTGAGGCTCGGTTTATCAACGCGAGTTAATCAAATCGGTCGATTAAATTCAGCTCCTCCGTTGGAACTGTTCAATCGCATCGTTCTTAGATAGAGGAATTTAATCGCCCGATTTGATTAACTCGCGCTGGTTAAATTAGGCCATAGTGTGATAATGATTTACGACCTGCATGACTTCATTGGTAGATTTCCAATTCCCAATCCCCAATCCGCAATTACAAACCCAATCTCTAATCCATAGTTTGATACGGGCTTTATGACCTCAATTTCTCAATAATACACTAGCGACTCGTAATGAATACTTCGGAATTAAATTAGACGACAGAAGATTAACAAATACTCGAACCCATTTAGCCAAGATTCGAACCTTCTTCGAATGAGATTTTGCTCGGCACCGTTAGAGGACACCAGATACTCTGTTGCTACTTTGACCCCTAATAATAATTATTGGACTCGTTATTCTTATACGCGTGATGTCACATTTAATTTCGAAGTCCCCGCTACGAGCCGCCACTGTACTTGCGGAGGAATTGAGGTCGTGACACGCGATTCAACCCAAGTTGGATGCCTCTTCTATTTCTGAAGTAATGTAACTTAATCGCAGGTTAGACATACCCTTATATTTTAGCATGGAAAATAAAGAAAATTCGATAAGCTGTAACTTGATGATAATACCAAAAATTATGATAATATGATGGTTCAAGAAACATCTTAAAACTTGAAGTTTTTACTTTTCAGGCATATTAAATTCATAGTATTATTATTGTTTATTGTCAAGATACATCGAGTTAAGTGAGAAATGGCGACCGTTGAATTTTAAATCTCATATTCCAGGTGAACGTTTACACCGAACAATTATATTCAAATTAAAACTGTTACGTATGCATTTTAAAGAGGATATTTTAAGCTTTTTATCTGTTGCTTAGCAAACGTTATAGACAGATTCACTTTTTATGAGCAATTAAAGTCGAGAGGACGCTTTTATTTTAACGCGAAATAACTCAATGTGGAAGAATTTATATCGCAATGTACAACTGCATGAAAGTTAAAGGGAGAAGTTTGCATTTTCACGCGGTGTAAAGCTCTTTTGTATACGGTTTTTTTTTATTTACGTGGAGCAATTCGTCAAACCTCATAAAAAACTTTGACAGTTAATGGATATTAATTTATATTCGTGCAGCGTCGCAAAGGATTAATAGAACTCGGTAGAACTCGGCAATACAACTGGAGACTTTAATAAAGACTTGTGCAAAATGCTTCCTCGACCATCTCATTATCATTATTTTTTCTAAAGTTACAGTTTGTCGAATCCATCTATGTTTCACGATCGAGAGAAACGATTCTCTTTAACTTTTGTACATATGGTCTGCAAACGCTCGAATTTTTTATTCCTCGTTTCTTCGGACTCTTCGCAAATCTTGCATTTATCAGCTGAATTTTTAAAAGCATAGTTCTTTAAAATCTCGCATCGATTGGCGAATTATTTAAGCGACTTTCGGACGATCAATAGCGAGCGTCGATAATAAATGTCGCTCGCGAAGTGCTTTTTAGAATAGCAAGTAAAATCCGCGATTCGAGCCGGCTATCAATTTTGCAGACTTGTGACTGTAAATCCTCCAGTTTGACCACGAAAGGGAAATAAGTAGCTCTCCGTTATACGGCAGCTAAGGAAGACAAACGGACGGATTACCGTTCTATCTTTCCTCGCGATTCTGTTCGCATCAGTGGTCCCGCCTTTGTTGGCGGACTTATTTGTTGCCGACCGCCGTCGCGCATTTGCATCGCAATGCGTCATTATGAAACGCAACGGAACTTAAATACCGGAAGGGTATCTTGTGGCAGTCGGGAAAGTTTCAGGCGGAAGTTTTGCAGGAGCGAGACGCGTATCCTTAGAATTCAAGGATCCGAGGATGCGTGCGACACTGCGGGAACCCACAGAAATCCGAGGATCTAAAGAATCTCGAGATACAAAAATCCGCTGGAGACCCATGGATTTTTCCGAGATTTTTAACAGCCGAAGTTCTCTCTCTCTCTCTCTCTCTCTCTTGGGTCTTGAGGTCTCAAAGCCCGAAATTACTGGCATTCGAGAGACCTCGCAAGTTCCCTCTCAGCATCATCCTCTCCCGGCCGATGAATTCGTCCCGCATCGTTCGGCGCGTTCTATTTTTGCCATCGCGTTTCCCTGTGTTGCCCGGAATTTTCGATTCGTCGCAAAAAATTGGATCATCTCCTTGTCTCGATGCGGCGCGCGGCCACGTCCGCCGATCTGCGTGACACAATTAATACGCGGGCTGAGCGTGACGTCTATCAATTATTATCTGGGGGTGACAATTAATACCCCAGAAATTTCGGCCGCACACTGGCGGCGGATTATTAACAGATGATACAGTTATGTCGCGACAAGTACGACGAATCGGCATCGATATCGGATTCATGCTACAGGAAACATCATATATCGCTAGCAGCCTGACGGCCTGTGCTTTTAACAGCTGCACGTAGAACACACGGTGCTCTTTCGTCAATCGATGTACTTTGATGTATTTGAAACTCGAACTTTTTTTCCGCAGCGTAAATTGCTGGAGACCGAGAGAGAGAAAGAGAGAGAACGAAAGATCGGACTCTTCTAATTTTATATATTAAACATCTCACGAATTAAAACTTCCCACCAGATTTCCGGTTAATGTTTCATTTTCAAGCCTCTCTGACGAGCGAAACTTTTCTTATAAATTTATATTCACGAAGCTTTCTAACTGTTCTTAAATAGCCAGTGTCGGATTATAATGACGCGATTTCGCTTTAGAGATACATTAACATTACAGCACTGTGTGTGCACTGTGTAAATGCTCTTATCAATTTTATTTGTGATAAGTTTTGATTCGCGATTTGTTCGCAGCCGCGCCCGCGGTGCGATAAATACGGTCAAAAAATAGTGCTGTCGATTTCAACTACTCGGGCGACCGAGTGTTTCAGTAATTGAACGTACGGTTAATTTCAGTCGTTACAAATTATCGATTTAGCGATAGTAGGTAATAATAACGTTTGGAATTAGCTGTATAGACTCGGGGAAAAAATTATCCATAGTGGCTAAAATCTAGCTGTAGCAGCTGAAACGTGTCTTCGAAATAGGGACAGCTAATGTTGTTGCCACCGCGGTTAAATTTATTAGCTGTTTGAATTTGGGCGCTACAGTGAAAAATATTAGCTAGAGAGAGAGAGAGAGAGAGAACGCGCGATAATACTAAAATTATATTCGTATTTCTAAATAGAAATGTAATGCTTTTTTTTTAAACAAGCTGCCCTTAAGGTGTTAAATGCATGCTGATTTTGTCTGAAATTTAGCCACTTACCCCGGGAAAAAAGATCATATGAAATTTGCCCATATATGACCATATAATCATATATGTCCACAACGGAAAAATACTGCTGTTTACAAATTATATGCAAATACAATCGAAGTAAATGCTTCTGGCTACTTGTGCTTCTGACGGTACATATCGACAGTATGATATCAACATTTAATTAAATGACATAACATAATTTTTCTTGTATAGACATATACGATCATATATGTAATATGGACAAAATTTATATATAGGGTTAATATATAATTATTATATATATAAGCATTCATAATCATTTTTCTCCCGAGTACTTGATTTAATACTATATCGTGTGTGAAAAACATGCACGCAGTAAAAGATTCTGTTGAAACAGCAAGTTGTTGGTTATTATAGTGACAAGAAAAAGATTTATTATACAGAAAAAGTAATTTTGCTGATGTGGCGAAACTTTGGTTGCGACAACGATAAGATTTATACTTATTATTTGGCATAACCAAAAATCAATATTCCTAACAAAATATTTTTGCTGTCCAAGCAAATATTTTCGTTGTCATTATAGTAATTAACGATTTGCCGTTCCAATAAAATTTTTCTTCCCGTACGTTTAAACATTGTGATAGCCTCGAACCTAAGACCTTTGAATCGTGAGTTAATCCCTTTAAGTACTACACCACTTCGTCGATTGACATAAACGTATTGTC